TGTGGGCAGAGCCTATTCATGACCTGGACTTCGTGGCCCGGGTCCTCCAAGCCGTGAGCGCCAACCCTGGCCGCTTCCATACCTCAGAGCGGATCCGTGGGGTCCTGAGCGTCATCACCGAGGTTGGGGCTGAGCTGTGGTGGGCAGGGGGCTCTGCCTGTACCCAACTGCCCTTCCTCTGTCCACCCCACACCTATCCCATTCTCCTGCAGGAGCTCCCAGACGTGCCTCTCTACTACACTCTGGACCAGCTGAGTAGCACCATCCACTGCAGCACCCCTAGCCTCCTGCAGCTGCGGTGAGGGCCAAGTCTGCCCCTCTCTGGCAGAGTCCCATATAAAGATGGAGATCAGACACACCCTATTTAGGCTTTTCTGGTAGGAGTGCTTAGATCAGCGCTTAGAGGCTTTAGACCCGGCCAGCCGTGCAGTCTTACTATGGTAACAGCTGGCATCATGTCTGCCATGGGTGCTCCATGAGATTTGCGGCTACACCAGCTGTGACACAGTTCACACCCACATAGGTCATAATGAACTTGGGAATCTGCCTCCCTATCATGTCCCCTTTTGGTCCCCAGGTCAGCCCTCCTCCATGCTGGCTTCCGGGTCTCTCTCTCCCACGCCTGTAAGAACGCCGTGAAGACTGATGCCCCCACCTCAGCCCTATGGGACATCATGCGCTGCTGGGTGAGGGAAGCTTAATGGGATGGGGGTAGGGGATGGTTGGGCTCAGCACCCACTGACCTCTGACCTTTGCCTTCCAGGAGAAGGAGTGTCCGGTGAAACGGGAACGACTGTCGGAGACCAGCCCAGCATTCCGCATACTCAGTGTGGAGCCCAGGTATGAGCACAGCCATAGTGCGACTGTGAGCAGGCCAGGAACTCACTGTGTGTGACACAGGCCCACATACATCCCCATACTGACCTGCTCATCCTTCAAGTGAAATCCAGAATTCACTCAGTTCTTGCCCCACCCTAGTCTGACCACACTGTGGTCCTCTGCCAGGTCCCCCACTTCCCCCTCTTGTCCCCTTGCTGTTCTCTCCACAACAGAGTGTACTATAAGCACCTGTGTACCGTCAGGTTTCCCCCTAACTTAGAACCCTCCGTGGCTCCCACATACTCAGTAGAAACCAAAGTTCTACCTGTGCAATGTATCATGTCACTTCCCTCATGTATCCCCAGCCCCACCCCCCTCATTGTTCAATGCACACTGGCCTTCTCCCTCAGACTCACCAGGCACTCCCCCACCTTGGCATTTACTTTGGCCTGGATTGCCTGTCCTGGCCTCCCATGGCTTTTTTTTTTTTTTAAGATTTATTTTTACTTATTTATGCATATAAGAACTGGGGTGTAGGCCAGAGGTGCCAGGAGGGGGTGGTGGTTAGAGGGCTCACCAGAGACAGAGTGGGGAGCAGAACAGGCAGATCAACTGAAATACACTGCTGAGGGGAGCAGCAGGTGAGACAGGAGAGGTCTGCTGTGCCATGTGGGAATCTCCCTGGCCAGGGATCGAAAGTGGAAAGTGGCTGCGGATAGCTTCATAGTGCTGAAACTTAACCCCTTGCGCCACCAGGGAGGCCCTGTCTGTTTCATTTTGTACTGTAGTATTTTTTACATCAAACTTTATCTATTTTATATATTGTCTCTACCTTCAATGAAAATGACAGCTTCAGAGGCACCCCCCCATGGCTCTTCCCTCACCTTCAGCTTTCCCTGCCTGCCCTCGTCTTACCATACCCCCCGTCCAGTCTCTGCATTCCTTTTACCCCGCTCTGCTTTATCCACAACTTTTTTTTTATTTATGCATACAAGAACTGGGATACAGGCCAGAGGAGTTGGGGGTGAGGGGTTTCACCAGAGACAGTGGGGAACAGAACAGGCAGATTGAAATACACTGCTGAGGGGAACAGCGGGCGAGTCAGGAAAGGTCTGCTGCGCCATGTGGGTTGCTCCCTGGCCAGCCAGGGGATCGAACTCGTGCTGCAGAGGCTGCGGACAGCTTCATAGGTTGTGTCTCAACCCCTTGTACCACCAGGGAGGCCCCCTTTACCCACAACTCTTTCTTAGTTCATGCTGTAACACACAGTTGGCCCTTGAACAACATGGGGGTTAGAGGTATCCATATCTCCCCACACAATCAAAACTGGAATATAACTTTGACTTCCACAAAAACTTAACAACTAGTAGCCTGCGGTTGACCAGGACTGCCTTACCGAAAATATAAACAATGAACATATGTTCTCATATGATAGACTGTGTTCTTACAATAAAGTAAGGTAAAGAAAATGTTGCTAGAAAAACCATAAGGGAGAATAAATACATTTACAGCACTGTATTATGATGATCAATACCGTAAGTTTAGATGTCTATATACAAGAAAATTCATGTGTAAGTGGACCGAGGAAGTTCAAAACCTTATTTTTTTAAGGTCAGTTTTAGTTTGCTTATTTCTGATTTTGTCCATTGCTTCTCCATCTTGTGCCCTTGTCAGTTTACCAGAAGCAGATATTTTTGTCCATTCTTTTCACTGTGTTCCCAGCACTAGAACAATGTGGGCACTAGGTAAATGTTTATTAAATAAATGACAGAATCCTGACACAGATAATATTCCTGTGGCACATGGAGGTGGGCAGACCCCACCTTGCAAACCTTCTGCCCCTCAGCCTCACCCCTAACTTCCCCAGGCTGCAGGCCAACTTCACCATCCGGGATGATGCCAACCCCAGCTCCCGCCAACGAGGACTCAAGCGCTTCCAGGCCAACCCTGAAGCCAACTGGGGCCCAAGGCCTCGTGCCCGACCAGGGTTAGTGACAGTGCAGTGGGGGATGGGCAGAGAATTTAGACAGGGTCTCAGCCACTTATCCTCTTGCTCAGGAGCAAGGCGTCAGACAAAGCCATGGAGGAGAGACGAAGGTTGCTCCAGAACAAACGGAAGGAGCCAGGGGAGGATCCAGTGCAACGGGCTGCTCGCCTCAAAACATTTCCCTGCAAGAGGTTCAAGGAGGTGAGGTACCCCTACAACCTGCAGGACACCTGGGTTCTGGGTTCCCCTCTGGACAAAGGGCAGGGCAAGTGCCTGGGAATGTGCTCCTTTTCCACAAAAGGAACCTGCAGTGGCTGCCAAACTCTGGGCCAGAGTTCATACTCACCATCCTCCCACCAGGGAATCTGTCAACGTGGGGACCAGTGCTGCTATTCCCACAGCCCCTCAACACCTGAGGCCACTGCTGAAGTCACCGCCACGGACTGTTTGGAGACTTCTAATCAGAATCCCTCAGGCTTGTGTCCTACACTAGGCCAGACATAAACAGAGTCAATAAAAAGATACCACCTTCCCCCTGACTATCATTTGTTTGAGTGGGGAGGCTGCCTATGGCCTGTCTGTCCACCTCTCCAGCTTTCATGTCTGCTGCATTGTCCATCTGTTTTAACTACCTGGAGGAACTCTGAATCTTGTTTTTGTTTCTGCATGGCTGGTAGTGTCAGTATTTCTGTTTAGGGTATTCAGTCTGTATGGGTGATGGGAGCTGACCCATCTGTCTGTGAGGCAGTCTGTCCTGCATCCCATCGCTGGTGCTTGCAGATCCTGACAAGGCCACATGGTGGCAGCCTTGTGCCCGAGGAAGCCTTTGCTGTTCCCCAAGCCTTGGCACCCACAGCCGGCTCCAGACACCAATCCTCCACGTGGCCTCGCACCACGCCTCCTCCTGCGTGGTTTCTCTGGTCCGGCTCACTCCCCCTCCCACCCAGGGCCACAGGGGCGGAAATCAGGCCGGAACCAGGCGCCTGGTGCATCCGCTCCAGACCAGGTGTTTCCTGCCCAGAGGCCCGAGGGGGCACACACTGAGGCACCCAGCAGGCTGCTGCATCTCCTCCCCCCAGGACGGTGTTAGCGACATTAACTGAGATTTGGGGGTAGAATTCCCACACTGCCACATGGTAGCTCCTAGCACCTTCATCTTCCTGCATCCGGGCTGTAAAATCATAATCCTTGGGATATCCAAGTTAACTTGTGCCCAGAACTGGAGCTCTCACCTCCCTGAGGCTTGGGTTTTGGAGTACTGCCTTTCACTCCATTCCCGGGAGGGTGGTGGTAGTGGTGGTGCTGGGTAGCTGCTGAGGGTCTGCATGGGAGATCCTGTTAGTCACCCAGAGACTCAGAGGTCATAGCTTGACAGGTAGGACTGTGCTTGGGGATGAGGAACAGTCTACAGAGTTGCCCCCTGGGCCCACATGGTTGTAGGATTCACTACTACCCTGGGATATTTGCCCAACATCCCTTAACCACCATTTACCATGTTCAGAGCTATGGGTTGAGGGCCGGGGTGTGCAGAGCTAAGGCTATGTGATCCTGTTAATGAGGCCAATATAGGACAGTACTGGAGATGTCCCTTGAAAAGTTCTGCTAGTTCTGACACCCTAGAAAATGCCCACTTTCCCCCCAGGTGTGGCACTTCCTCTTGCCCTCCCAGGCCTGGAAAGGTGGTATGGCTAGAGCGTGGTGTCTCAGGACGCCTGCCCAACTGAACAACCAAGGTCAAACTTGTCAGAACAGGCCTCCCTCCTGTGTCCTCTCTAGGATGGGGGTGGAGGAAAGGCTCTGTAAAAAGAGGAACTAGGCTGGGGGTGGAGAGTTGGAAGAGGCGCCCCTAGGTCACGAGGCCCCAGCAGCACCGGAAACAGTTCTCTTTCACCCCCGTCTGCATAGACACTAAAGCAAGGGGTGTTCAAAGGTGAAGGCTACTGCCCCCTGCCTCTTTCCCCTCTATGGTGCTCCCTGGTGCCTCGTTTCCAGTTGTGCGCTGGGGCTGGGGTCCTCAGAGGGCAGGGGGTCCCTCCACTGCTTAAGGGGATTGAAGGTGAGGCCCCCAAGGCGTGACCACTGAGTCCTGCTTCTGCTGGCTGAGGGGGCGGCGCTGAGAGGTCATGGCTCAGAGATCCCCGCCCACTGGTTTCCTCCAGGGTCAGCCCGGCTCCTTATCAGGCACAGCCAGGCGGCCAGGCAGTTATCTGCGCCGTCCAGCATCCTCCGGCCGCTGTGCTGGGGGTGAGAGGGAGGAAACCCGGCCGACAAGGGTGGGGAGAAGGTGGGTTTGTCCGGAGCTGCTCACTTTCCCTCGAGGGACCCAGGCTGCTGCCTGCAGCCCTTGGGAGCTCCAGGAGAGGCCTGACCAGCAGCTGGCCCTCAGCGGCTAGGAGGGCAGACTCCAGGCCTGAGTGGGGCCTCCAGTGCCTAGCCTGAAGTTGGAACCCACTTCCTGGTCCCAAGCGCTCGCCCTGAAGGACAGAGCCAGGGCATTCACCAGGCAGCTGGACCAGTGCCGGGGTAAGAAGGGACCGGCTCGAATTCCTTCCTTCACTCATTCATTCATTCATTCATTCATTTATCAGCAGGAACCTACTAAGTAAGAAGCCAGGCAAGCTTCCCCAGGGTCTAGCTAGGGAAGACTGGGCAAAGGAGCCAGGAGTCCTTGAATAGGGACATCTAAGCAGTGTGCCAAGGGGTGCATACTGATGGGAGTAAGGAGGGTGGAGGTCAATGGGGTCAGTGTATGGGGATCCTGGGATCAGCATTTGGGGTCATGGTGTTTGGGGTCATGGTATCAGCAATGGGGTCACGGGGTTAGTAAGGGAGACTTTCATTGGGGGTGGGTTCACCGGAGTGATTATGGAGGACTTTCAGGGTCAGACCTTGAGGCAATGGCAAGGATCATTGCTGAGGGCCACATGGTCAGCCTAGGGGAGGAGGGTGTCAGTGAAGGTTCAGAATCAATCCTGGAGGGATTCCAAGGTCACAGGGTGTCGAGGGGGGTCTCAGGATCAGATCTGAGGGTTACAGGGTAATCTTGAAGATCATAGGGTCAGTCATGGGTCCTTCCCTTGCTCCTACCTCTAGGTTCCAGGTGAAAGGGAATTCTGTAAGAAGGGAAATTTGCTCTGGGGCTGGGCCACTGAAACCCTCATGGGTCACAAATGGATCACAGATGGCCCTACTGGGTTCAGTGCTCCCTAGCGCTTCACTGGGCACATCTTCCTGCCTTTGTGTTGGACTCCCTCCCATGCCCTAGCTGTTTCTGGTCCCACTCCCTACCTGCCTTTGCCCACTGAACTGCCACCCCCCCCCCATTTGAGAACTGGGCTAAGGAAGGTATAGCATATGATCCCCCTCTCCACTGGTTTCCTTCCCTCCCACAGGTGAGCTCCCCCTCGGGGTCCATGTGCCCGCCCCAGGCCCACACAGAGGTGGGCCCCACCATGACTGAGAAGGCCAAGATGGTGTGTGCCCCCAGCCCAGCACCTGCCCCACCACCCACGCCTGCCTTGCCTAGGCCCCCAAAGGTGAATGAGGTGGGCCACAGAGATGCTTCACCCCCCAGACTGCCCCCTGGCGTGCCAGTCATCAGCCTGGGCCACACAAGGCCCCCAGGGGCAGCCATGGCCACCACGGAACTAAGTGCCCTGCGTTCCCCACTGCTGCAACTCTCCACCCTGGGACCCGCCCCACCTGCCCTGGCCCTGCATTACCACCCTCACCCCTTTCTTAACAGGTCAGTGGAGTGGGGGGCAGGGCCTAGGGAGGAATGCAGGGCCAGGGTGCTTGCCCACAAGGCATTAGTGACCCACAACCCCTTACAGCCTCTACATTGGGCCGGCAGGACCTTTTGGCATCTTTCCCAGCAGCAGGCTGAAGAGGAGACCAAGCCACTGTGAGCTAGAGCTGGCTGAGGGTGAGTATATTGGCTTGTAGCTGTCTGGGGCCCATGGCTGTCCCATACATGGGGAGGGATAGCCAGTGCACACTGAGATATACAGAGGACAGCCCATAATGGGCTCTGTACTCAGTCCCAATCACAGCTACCCAACAGACCACAGTAATAGCAAATGCAGCATGGCACTGGGGCCACAGAATCACAGCTCCCCTGGAATGCACCGCCAAATGGAAAACAGCTATGGGACAACAACCATGCAAGAGACAGCCACACAACCACAGCCACTTAGGACCTTGGCCACACAAGTCAGCCGGAGAACCACGGCCATGCATGACACAGCCACAAGACCACAACCACGTGGCAACAAGCACACACAACCACAGCCATTTATACCATGAGTTGTACAGCCACTAGAGACATGGACAAACCACAATCACAACAAGAATACTCTTAAATTCAGGAGCACACCCAGCCACACCCAGGGACACATTCAGAGTGAGGGCCATGAGACAGTGCCCTAGACTGGAATCTCAGCCAGTGGCATAAAGGTGTGGACAGTCAGGGGTCAGAGTCCCCAGCTGCCTGCAGCCTGGGCCTGTGATGGTCCTTGTCCAGGCGCCTCTGGGGGTAGGAGGTGCTCCCTGGCAGAAGAGTTATCTGTGCACTTTTCCTGTGGATCCCTTGGGGAGGGGGGAACTTGTGTTGAAGTCCCCATAAGGGTGCTGGGCATTTGAGGTGAGGCTGTTGGGGGCGCCAATCCTGTCCCCATCCTGTCCTTAGGGCACCAGCCCCAGAAAGTGGCCCGGCGTGTATTCACCAACAGCCGAGAGCGCTGGCGGCAGCAGAACGTGAATGGCGCATTTGCTGAGCTCAGGAAGCTGCTGCCTACTCATCCACCCGACCGGAAGCTGAGCAAAAACGAGGTGCTGCGCCTTGCCATGAAATACATTGGCTTCCTGGTGCGGCTCCTGCGCGACCAGGCAGCCGCTCTCGCCGCGAGCCCCGCCCCAACGGGGCCCCGAAAACGGCCGGCCCACCGAGGCGCAGATGACAGCTCCCGGTGTGGGCCCTGCCGCAGGGCGGAGCTGGTGGCGCGCCAACAGTCGGCACCCCAGGCCTGCCCTGACGGCAGTCCCGATGGGGCGGCCCGGCCCATCAAGACGGAACAAGCGGCAGTGAGCCCAGAGGTGCGGTGACTTTCTCGCCTTCAGCCTGTGCGGTGGGCACTGGGAGCGCAACCCGGGCTGTCCAGGAAGGGGCGGGTTACGCGCTGCGCCTGCCCAGGAGCGAACTCCCGCAAAGAGGGATCGGTGAGGACAGCACCTAAGGGAGGAGTGTGGGGCCTGGAAGGACGACGGTCGCCCCCAGGTGCCCTGCAGTCACTCACCGTTCACTGGACGTGGCCTTGCCTGCCCGCGCTCCCCTTCAGAACGCGAGGTTGACCAACCAACATGGTAGCGCGGTCAGAAGACCCTCGTGTGCTTCTTTTTTTCTCCCCCCAACCCCGGGCTGGGGTCACCGAGAGGTGGGGAGGAACCAAGGAGCCTTCGCCCTTCTCGCGGCGCCCCCTTCTGGAAGCGCAAGGTTAGACGTTCCTCGACGGCCTCCGACAGCCAGGCTGGCGGAGAACGGGCAAGACCCGCGCGGGGGCCTCTCCCCTCCCGCCCTGATTCGGTCGCGTACGGGCGCATTAGCGAAGGCTCAGGGGTCTTGCTTTTGTTTTTCTTTATTTCTTTATTTCACATACACATTAGCCATTCAATGGAGAAGCCGGAGAGTCAGGCAAAGATGGTATAACAGAAGCGCAGTGACGGGGGCGGGGCGGGGCGGGGCGGGGCGGGGAGGGCGAAGAGGGAACAGACGGGCTGGCTGCCTACTTGCATTCCGCTAGGACACTGAAAACCCAGAAAACAAAACAGACAGTAAACTACCCTTGTTTCTTATGTATCTCAGTGCAGAGACGGGGTGGAGGGCAGAGAGGAGACCAGGCTGAAGGAGGAGGAGCGGAGGGACAGGGGACGCTAAGGGGGAAGCACACCAAATCCATTAGTACTATATATAGAGATACTCGTATATACTGCGTTTCTTAGCCTAAGAAGAAACTTGTTTGACGGGACGGGCGGCCTTTTCGGTCCGCGATGCTGGTGCTGGTCGGGCGCACGGGTCTCCCGGGAGGGGCCGAAGCGGGGCTGGCCCAGGCTGGCTTGCGGGGGAAGGGGGCGCCCCAGGATGGGTGGGGGAGCAGAGGCGGGGCTGGGTTGCCCCTCGGGCTCTCAATTGGGGGACAAAAGTTCTCGTGACTTTATTGCTCCTTTATTTTCTCTCGTGTGTGTGTGTGTGGGGGGGGGTCCGTTCAGCACGGTCGGGGTGGGAGAACGGTGGGTCGTCTGAGCCACCCGGCCCCTCTGGGACCCAGAGCGCGGCGTCCGCTCCGCCAGCACGGGGGTGAGAACAAGGCACTAGGTCGGCCGGCCAGCGCAGGGGCGGGTGTGTAAGGCAGTCGACGGGGCTGGTTGCGGGGTGAGGTGGGGCTGTGTGGGGGCCGTTTGCGTGCGTGCGTGCGCGGGCCTGGGCAAGTCGACCTGTCAGCTTGGCTGGTCCTGTCCTGGAGCTTCGAGACTTCCCCGTGCTCCCAGAGGGTAACCAGGATGGGGTGGGGGTGGGGGAGTGATGTGGGGGGCTCCGGGGGTGGGGTGAGGGAGGAAAACTACCAACTTGCTGAGCGCGCTCCTGATAATGCTGGTGAGGGTCAAGTTGGCGTCTGGCTCAAAGAAGGGCGCTCGGGACAGAGAGAGGGAGGGAGGGGACTTTGTTCGTTGGCATTGACCTCTGCGGAGGAGGGGCTGGGGTCCCCCGCCACGCCCCGACGCCAGGACGGGGATGGGGCGAGGAGGGGGCGCTGGTCCCCGGGGAGGGGCCGCCCGGGGAGACCCGCGGCCTGAGCAGCCCTGCCACGGGCGCACGCCGCTGTCCCGTTCCGTTAAACTCAACAAAGAAGGGATATGCGTGTTCCTAACAAGTGCAGGATATTTGATTCATAAACTTATGTATAATAGTTTGTTTTTTTTTAAACGTACTTTATAATGTAAGAAGCACCAGGGTTTTTATGTTTAATTATCTTAAAAATAACTTTCTCTCGTCCTTTTCCTTTTTGATATTGTGTCGATTTTTTTAATGTCGAGGTGTTAAAAAAAACTCTAAAATGTGAACATTTCCTTCAGCCCTTCCACCGAAACCGAGAACGAATGACGAAACAAATAAAAACCCCAGATCATCCTCGTCAACGCAGAAAAACGACTTAAAAAAAAAAAAACCCTCAAAAAAAAAAAAAAGAAAAGAAAAGAAAGAAAGAAAGAAAGAAAAAGAAAAAGAAAAAAACACTCAGCTTTTGTTATCCCCGCTCAGGGCGGGACAGGCCCGGTTCTTTTAGCGTCCCCAGAGCCGCGAGGACATTACAACAAAAATAAATTTTTTTCTTAATCTCTTAACATACAAAGATAGGAAAACTCTGATGCATTGCACTTGGTTCAATGAAAAAAAAAAAAAGTTCATTTCCCCCATATATATTTTTGTGGGTTTTTTTCTTTTCTAATACGTCCCCACATCTCCTGTCGCCCTCGTTGCCCTTAGCCTGCCCCTCACAACCACACTTGGGAAAGGAGCGACCCCCCCACCCCCGACCCCCCGACCCCCGCCCGCCCCGGCGGCCCCACCGGGCGCGCTCCCGCCCCGGCCCAGCTGGCCTGCAGCTTCCGACCTCGCCCAGGCGGGCGCCCCGCAGACCCTGGCTCCCCTGGGCCCAATGCACCCACTGCCCCGTTTGTCTCCGAGGCAAGGGACGCGTGCGGCCAGGTATGGGGTCCCTTCCGCTCCCCTCTCAGCTCTGACCCTGTTTAGCCAACCAAACTGAAAAATCATTGCACTTTGACCGCGCATCACGCCCGGCCCACCCGGCTCCCCACCCCCCCACCCCCGCCCGACTCCCCCTACCCTCCAGGCTCCCGCAGGACCCCCAGCGCCCCACTTCTCAGTCCCGGTCCTCTCCGGGCTGCAGGCGGATGGGGGAGGGGCTCCACTCAACTTCCAACAAAAGCCACCCCGGGGACTACCGCTTCGTGACTTCCAGCTGGGGAGGTGGCGCCAATTGCGGGCCCCAGCCGCCCCAGGTAAGGGCTCGCCTCCCTTCCCCAGAGGGCCCCCTCTCCTCCTTCCCTCCCGGCCTGCTCGGGGCCACAGCCTTACAAACTAGACTCACAATATAAATAAAGCCCATAACCCACCCCTACGGTGCAATGTTGGGTTGATTGACTTTCAGAGGATCCTGACCTGTGCTTTGTGTTTTCCTACAGTTAAGAAAGAGAAAGAGAGAGAGAGGCACAAGGACTCAGAAGGGGACCAAGAAGGGCAGATGCAGGGAGGAGGGAGTAAGGCACAGAAAGACAAGCCAGAGGGGCCAGGCCACACCCTGGAGGGGGGACTGGGCGTGCTCATGCTCCCCTCCCTCCAGGGGGGGCTTCTGAAGACCCTCTGGTCAGGCCCCCAACCATCCCTTGGGGAAGGAGGGGGCAGCAGGGGTGGGGAGAGCTACTTCCTGTGGCGTGTTACCAAATTGTTCCCAAGTTGCTCAAATGGGGGAGGAATTCCCAATTGCAACAGCAAAAGACCCAAACAATGAATGCCCTACCCCTAAATAAAGAGTAAAGACTTTACAGCTAAAATCCAGAAAGAGGTGGCCACAGGGGCAGGATGGGGGAAGTGGAAGGGGGACCGGGAAAGCTCCAAAACACTTTTGAAAAATGACGGACGACACCCAACACCCTCCAAAGGAACTGTAAGTTGGCAAGCAGGACGCCTACCTAGCGCAGGTGGCAGCTTAGCCACAGCAGCGGCAGCTGCCTGGTCCTCCTCGCATGGCTGTGGGGTCCCCTTTCTGCTCCATTATCTGGCCCGGCCACAGCAGGGCTGACTGCGTGAGGGGCAGGGACAAGGACCGATGGGGCGGGCAGAGCGAGAATACCTGCATGCGGGGCTGGGGTGTGGGGGCAACCTGGGGGCTGCCTCCCCTCACTAGCCTGGCAGAAGAGTGACCCTCCCAGCCTACAGAGAGAAGGAAGAGGGGGCCTGTCCCTGGCTGAGACGGTGCCGTCGAGAGCATTCCCACTTTTTCCTATGGACTGTACATAGGGATCTGGGGCCCAGAACTGCCCCCGAGACTCAGGGTGGGATGGCAGAATACCCTCCATTCCAGGAACACAGAATTAGCTCCCTGCCCACCCCGGGGGGGAGGTGTTCTAACTCAAGTGGGGCAGGGGTCTTGGAGGTCACCTACCTCCCCTGGTCCCAAGCAACAGGGGAAGAAGCCAGAGCTGAAGGCAGTGAGGGGGAGGGATGGGTCACACCCTGGAGGGGGCGCTGTTGGGAAGCCCTTGGGAACTACACCCCAACATCCTTACAAGCTGGTCCTCCAAGCTACCTACTGAAGCTCCAGCAAAAGTCAAGGGTGGGGTTTCCCAAGGGTGAGGGTAGGGCCCAGGCCCTTTCAAAATGGTGCTGGTTGTTTGGGGATTTTGTTCCTTCCCCAGGAGGCCTGGACCAGACAGGACAGGGAGGCAGGCAGTTCCCCTGCATACTTTCTTGCTTGCTGTCCTGTACTTGACAGAGTCTGCTTTGCATGTTGCTTTCTGCTTGGCTGCTGGTGCTCAGCTCCTCTGAGACCTCTTCTGAGGGCTCTCTGAGAACTGGGCTGCTTCTGGGGGCCTGCGGGGGTCCCCGGGCTGGAGGAGAGAAGGGTTGAGTGGCTGACGACGTCTAATTTTTGCTTTTCGGTGGGGCTGGGCTGGGCAGGGGGATTTTTCCATGTTCCAAAATTTCTTCTCCCCCCTTTTGAGGAACCTCTTCTTTTCATTTTGTCATTTCTTTTGTCGATCTTATCAGAGGAACCAGGACTGCAACAGGACAAGAGCGGCAATTTTGAAAATGGGGAAGGGTGGGTGGTTCCATTTATTGCTCCCTGGGCCTGTGACTGAAGAACGGATCTCTGGACCCCTCAAAGTCCCAGCTGTGGTGGTGCCAAGGGACCCCTGGCATTCCCTCCCCCCACAAAAGGTACATCACCATTCTGTCCATCTCTTCTGTGGTAATCCTGCCTGCAAGAGCACCTGCCCCCCAGAGTGCTAGAGTCCAGCTGGTCTTCCCTTGGGCACTATGCCCAGCGGGTGGGACCCCTGTGGCTAGTGCAAGCATAGGCACAGACCTGGGATTTGGCCATGTTTCCAATTATTTACAGTTTTGTGTGGTTCCTACAGGGTGGGAAGGATGCCAGTCTGGATCTTTTGTCCCCAGAGGGGTTTGGGAAATGGGTGGGGGTGGCCCAGTTTCTTGCTGAATTTTCTTTCTGTTTCTTTGGATTAAAGCAGAAATTTCCATCTGTACACCCCAACCCATAGGCTAAAAGACTGGGGGAGGGGTGACACCACGCGATTTTAGGCTCTAGCAGTGCCAGGCCTGGAGGAGTAGCCCTTGCAGACCCAGTTTGATACTCTACCCTCAGGGTACCAGGTGCTCCGGGAGGCGCTGAGGTGCAGAGGGGCGTAGTCAGTTCCCTCTGGGTGCCAGCAGGGGGCGCTGCCTTCCTACAGACAGGCAGCAACCAATCCACAAAACAACCCCGAGCAGACTCCTGGACCTGGGCTGCTTGGCAATGCCCTCCACCAAAGGTTCTGGGTCTGCCTCAAGCCAAGGGGCAGGGGATAGGTCTATGTTCTGTGATGCCTGGGCATGCCTGGCAGTGCCTTTCGGGCAAAATGGCTCTCCCAGGCTCTGGGGTCATAGACCTGGATCTGCAGGGGTAAAGGAGACTGACTACAGAGCAGGAGCTAGGTACTGACTTATTTTACCCAAGCCCTATCCCACGTAGAAGCCAGGAGAAGAAAGAGGTGGTGATCTGCCAAGGCCACACAGCCTGCACGGCTGAGCAGGGGCTCAAATGTAGGGGGCTGTGTAGAGTCAGTGCTAACCGGTACCTGTAGCAAGATCACAAGGAGGCAGGGTCTATAGTGGCCAGAAGGGCTGCACCCTGCCTAGCGCCAATGTTGGGATGAGGACTTGGGAGGCTAGATCCGGCAACTTTTCAAAGAAGTCAAAAGTCTGGACAGAATTTCATGTGAAAATTTCAATATTGAAAATACTTGTTTCAGTCATACAGCTCCTGTCTACAGGTTAGACCTGCCCCTCCAACTCTGATTTGGGACCATGCTAGGGAAACACCAAGTTTTGGAGTTGGAAAGGGGCTTGGAGATCATCTGGAGTTTCCTGCAGCAGTGGAAATGCTCTTCATTTGCGCTGTCCAGTGTGGTAGCCACTAGCCACACGTGGCTTCTGAGCACTTGAAATGTGGCTAGTGTGCCTCAGGGACTAAATTTTCTTCTAGTTAGTTATACAATTTATATTTTAACAGCCACACATGGCTAGCCCACTGGATACTGCAGATCATCGAGGGCCATTGATAACTTGGGGCTAGGAATGGCCGCAGTGACTGCTCTTTACAGGGTGGCCAGTGGTGCTGGAGAGGGGATAACTGCAGAGCAGACTGGCCCCCTCCTTGGCAGGGATCCTGGAGCACCTGCCCAAAGTCGAAACCCACCAATCAACTAAAGGCCAAAGGAAGCTCCAGGGGGCTTGGCAAAGTGTTGGGGAGCCCCCAGCCGAAGGTACCCTTAGAATGGATGGGGTAGGACCACGTAGACAGCCAGCTCTTGGGCTTCCCTTCCAGGCCCGAAGGGATGGGAGCTGCCTAGGTTAGCCCCCTCCCCGCAGGCTTAGTCTTTGGTATTCTCTGGGACCCCCTTCCCAATGAGAGACTACACTGGAGCCTTACAAGGCTGCTCTGGTTGTGAGTCTGCTCTCCCCCCTCACTGCTTGGAACAGGATGGGGACAACCACAAGAGGAAGACATACCAAGTTAAGGCCCTAGATGGGCCCCTTTGGGGTCTCCTGAGTTGCATGGTGTTTGTTGGGGGGACAGCCACCAACCCTCAGATTGAGGGGGCTTCTCAGAGGAGGAACACTTGAGTCGGGGACAAAGAAGATTCCAGTGGCGCTCTGCAGCACAACTTCACGGGTCTCAGGAACAGGGGACCTGCTGCCAAGCACGGAGTGGCTTTTTCTGCTCACCCCTCCCTGCTTCTTGAGCCAGGTCCAAAATTGATTAAAACTAAGTAAAAAGCGCTGCCCAGGGAATGACAAAATAGCTAAAATTCTCTTTTCTTCCTCATTCTATTGTTCTCGCTCCATCTGGTGCTCCAGAGATCAGCTAAAGTCAGTGGTTACTGTGGAAACCACCCCCCACTGTACCCCCCTGCACCCACTGCAGCCGCCTGCCTGCCCCCAGGCCCAAGGGCTCCCAGCTTGGCCAGTCCAGCTCCAGTCCCCCCACCACCATCCCCTGACACACCTGCCTGTTCTGGGGCCAGGTCCCAAGCGGGAACAAGGGAGAGAAAAATGTTTCTCAAGCTTGCCTCAAACTCTGACTTGGCGCCAATGTCCAAGTAAAATAAGCAGAGAAAAGTGAAGAAGGGAAAGCACACCGAGGCAGAAACGGTGATGGGGAGGGCTGGTGGCAGTAGTCCCCGAGAGTGAGCGAGCAAAGGCAAAGGCAATGAGAGCTGCAGGCGGGGCTGTGGGAGGGAGGGAGGAGGAGGGGTGGAGGGAAAGCAGGGGCAGTGGAGCCCGACTGCCCAGTGCCAGCCCAGGGCCAGGAGATGAGGCCCGCCTGCTGTCCCTTCCTCTGGCACCCCCTCCAGCCCTCTGACAGCAGGGCTCTCTTGGCCTCCCTGGCACAGAACCGAGGGGGGCTGGCTCCAGCCCCTGCTCTGAGCCATTGTTTTTCTTCTCAACACCCCCAAGTTCAAGTTCATCTGGGTGTTACATCATGTCTGGTTGCTCCTGGAAACCAGACGGGTCAGACGTGACTCTGGGGAAAGGGGGTGGGAAGCTGGAGGGGGTTGAAGTTCCCCTCCCCTCCCTTCCTTGCCACTAGGGAACTCTGAAGTTTGACAAAGTTTTTGGCTTTTTTTTTTTTTTTTTTTTTTTGGGAGGTTGGGAAAGGAAAGGAAAAAAAAAGCCCTCAAACCACACACACAAAACTTCCATCCACCAACTTTCTCTGGACTTGAGCCTTACCTCGGAGCAGAGACTGAGCGAAGCCCAAAGAGGTGACCCCAGAGCTCTAAGCTGAGGTGGATTTCCCTGGGCTAAGGAAACCTCCAATGCCCTGGGCTCAAAGGGCAGTTATTTTGTAAAATGTGCAAAAAAAAAAAAAGATATCTGAGAAGACTCACACTGTAAAGCTGCCTCTACTCTGCTCCTTGTTATACCCCCTAACCCCCAGTTCCCTGGGTCTGCAGGGATATTCCTAGTCTCTCTGGAGAATGGCAGTGGAAGGTGGGTAGGAGGGGGGACCCTGTGTGTATATATGCACCTCCCCCTCAAGAGCTTTCAGGCAGGAGGATCCATTTCCTTGTGAGAACTGGGGGTGATGGCATCAGGACTAGGGTCCCCTGTGGCCTGGTTTCCTCTCTAAGAAAATTCATGTGGACTTGGGGGGAGGGGTCTCCTGGGCAACATGGCCTTATACTTCCCTTGGTGCCAGAGTCTCTGGGCATATGGCCTACTATACTACTATATCACCCTCTACCTCTTTCCAGACCACCCAAAGCCAGGAAAGAAGGGAGGGGGAGCAGGGATTCCCATAGGAGTAAATGGAGAGTAACAAGGCAGGCAGGTATTGTCCTCATGATAAGACCTCAGGCTTCCATCTTTGCTTCCACCAAGCCTGGCCCAGAGTGAAACCAGCCTCAGGTCCTTGGCCTCCTTCCCCAGGGCCAGGGCTGTCAGAGCTAATTATCCAATTAGCTGAATAGCCAGGAGGCCTGGGGGCTGCCTGGAGAGGCCCTCTCAGCTGGGCCGCAAAACCTGGGCATTTCAGCTCTACTTCATTCCTTTCTCTGGGATAAGCCCCAATTACCCTGGCCTTCTCCACACCCATCGGCTCCCCCTGTGCTGGGTCCACATCCGCTGGGCATGACTCCTACCTGAGACTGCTGTGGGATGTTCAGAAAGTTGCTGTCCCGGGGTCCGATGCTGACAAACCGGTTGGCAGGGGAGGCGCCTGTCGTTGCGAATGCTGTGGGGAGTAGGGGAGAGAGGGAGAGATCCTGTGAGACCTTGGGGCCCACCTCGGCACTGCCCTTCCAGGCCGCTGGGAGAGGGAGAGACTGGATTAGACCATGCTGCCTGGGCTGAGGCTGGCAATGGGAAGAACTGGAGGGGGGCCCCTTAGCCTCTCACTGATCAGGAGCACACACTGCCCCCCACCCCTGCACTCACAACCTTATTCAGACATCCTCTTTCATGGCCCAGAATGAGTGAGGGGTCCTGGAGACATTAGCTGAGGTCCCTAAAAAACACTGGGCAGGGCTAGAGAGAGTCCTGGTCCCAAGGAGCTCAAAGTAGGTCTCTGCTTTCCACCATCCCTTGAGGTCTAGGGAAGAGAAACCCCAAGAGGGTGGGAGCTCTGACCACCCAGTCCACCCAGCCAGGCCCACCTTTCCAACCAGGGTAACTAGTTGAGTGTTGCACTGCTTAACCACCTTGGGCAGTCCCAAGGACTGGGCAGGAGGTCTGGAGAACCTGAAGAGGGGCCAATGGAGGGCTGAGCCCAGTGGACTGGATTGGAAAGGGACCCAGGAGTTGGCCCCCCTGCTAAGGTCCAGGGGTGGCCAGGCTTGGGCCAGCAGGCATTCTCTTCCTCTGGTGGGTGAGTCAGGCCCAATTGTCCTGTGGGCCCCACTGCCCAAGATGGGTCAGGATGAAAGTGCAGGAGGAAGAGGAGACCCCAGGGCCTGGTCACCCAAGAGGTGTGTGTGGGGGGGGTGGGGGGTAAATGAGTCAGACACCCCTGAGCTCTTCTCAGTTGTCTGGCTGAAGACCTATGGGAAGGAAAAGGTCCTGTACCCCCAGGAGGGAGGATGCCCCCAGAGGGGACAAGGACTGTCACGCTGTCCGGGAACCTTGCCCCCACTTCTGCTCTTTGCCAGACACACCCAAGGGTCCCCATGCTCACCAGATTCTGTCCAGAAGCACCCACCACCCTACATACTGGCCCCACCTCCCCACACTGCCCACCTCCAATGACCATGACCATGACTTCGTGTCATATGGCAGATGCAGATGGGAGATGGCATGAAGTGGATGGAGAGGGGAAAAGAACTCAAACCATGAGAAAGAAGGTGAGACAGAGCGTGCTAGTCGGAGAAAAGTGGTGAGATGGGCCGCCCCTCCCGCACTGCCCCAGAAGTCCTGGCCTGCGAACCCCCAGACCACTGGCAGTGCTGCCCACCCGAGCCCGCAGACGGCACGCTGCCCACCCTCCGCCTCTCCTGTTCCTCACGTCGGGTCTACCGTGGACCTCTCAATTCAGATTTTTGTCTTCCCTTTAATAAAATTTGTTGGTTTGAAAAAAAAAAGAAAGATGAAGCTGAAATTTCTCCTAACCTAAGGGTATACTTTCAAAAGCAATGCTGGGAAACACATTTCACAGCTCAGTGCCTTATTAGAAGCTGTAAGGGTATTCTCATTTTGTGTGTATGTGATGAAAATTTAACCTCTATTAATAAGATATATAATAGGGGCTACAATAAATGTTGAAATTGGCATATTGATGGATTTCATCCACATTTTAGCAGAAATTGATCATTGCTAAACAGTGTCAAATTTGTACATCAATTCAGGTTTGAAATGAAACTGCTTGTTACAACCAGCCTTTGCTGTAGTACGCACACTACTGCATCTTTTTAAAATAAGACTTTTTCTTATTTAAAAAAAAATGAAAGAAAGAAAGAGAGAGAGAGAGATGAAGTAAGCCGAGGCCCAGAACCCCCATTGTCCTTGGAACATCCAACCTGGGGAAGGGATTCAGGAGAGGGAAAGGGTGGAAGGGGAAAAAAAAGAGGAGCAACGAGAAACCGAATGTGAGACTGAAGGGAAGGTCAGGCACCAGCTGCTGCACCTTCAGAGACCTCCTCAGGAAGTGTGGGGAAGCAGGGTCGAGGCAAAAAGGGGATAGTGGCGTCGCCTTGTGGTCACATTTAATTTTCTTGGGGGGGGGGGCACAACGAAACAACAAAAAAAAAAATCAAAAAACAAAAATAAAAACGAAAAATGAAAAAAACAGCAATCAGGCATGAAGATGGCATGGCTGGGCCTCCCTGCCCCCCTCCCACCCAGACCAGCACCCCTGGCCTGTGCACCCCACTGTGCTCTCCCTCCCGCCCCCCAGAGGGGCCTGGGCCAGGGGCCCCGGCTGGGAGCAGCGGGTGGGCAGGGGGGCTTAAGGGGTGCTGGCTGGTGTGACTGAGGCCTGGGAGGCCGTGGCTGGGGAGCTAACTCTGCTCTTGTCTGGGAGGGAGGTTCCACGGTGCTCTGGGTTGGGGGCCTTTGGCGGTCAGGAGGGGGGCTTTTCTTTTTGCAGTGGAGACTATTTGGATGGGCCAGGGACGCTGGGCTTTGTGATTTTGGTTTCATCGTCCACTTACAAGGTGATGGAGGAGTCAAGGCGGCGCCGTCTGGGGCAGTGCTGGTGGATTTGGAATCAGGCATAGGAAGGGGCACAGGTCTGGCCACTGGAGGCGGCGGCGGTAGCAAAAATGACCCCGGGACTTTGCCCTGGCCGCTACCGTTGGGCTGCGAACAACATAAATAGAGTGACGCATGAAGGCACATCACACACAGACACACGCGCCCCTGCGCGGCCACGCCAACTCGCTCGTGAGAGCGTGCGCTCCCGGTGGAAGATGCAAGACGGGGTCTTCTCCTCCGGGGCACAAGATGGGTGAGGGTGTGAGGCCTCTATTTGGTCTCTCAGGTGTTTCTCTCTCTCTTTTTTTTTTTATTTTTATTTTTTGATCCTCTTTTGAAAGTTGTGGGAAGGAGGAAGAGGGGTGTCCAATGGGTTGTTTATTATTTCTTTGGGAACATCTTTTAAGTACCCAAATGGCCACCTAGCCACAGCAGCTGCACCTAGAACTCTCATGCTCTTGAAGACCTCCTATGACAGGAAAGATGTGTCAACTCACCCCACCTCATGCCCCAAAGAAATAGGGGTGTCTCCCTCTGTGGGTCCCTGGGGTAGGGCTGGCTGGCCCAACCCAAGCCAGAAGACCTGCCAGCATCTGCCCCACATCACGGCCCAAGGGATGCCAGGTGCTGGGAGGCTTGCTCTCAGTGTCAGTAGACTTCAGATGGCGGGGTGCTGGCCTATTTGATATAGGAGAGCACAAGAGGAAAATCCATCACTGCCGGTTCCCACGAGGTTCTCAGAGTGGACTTCCTATCCGACGCCCTTAGAGCTGGGGACCAGTCAGCAGGATCCACTCCTTGTCCTTTATTCTACTCCCTCTTGTGCCTCAAGCTGCTTACTTCTCCAGCCCCAATGTGTGGCTTTGTGTGGATCAGCAGTCAGGCTTCCAGGGACGTAGGCATCACAGGGAGAGGTGGAGGTCCCACTCTCTTGCAGGCAGCTTCCTGGAAAGACCTCCCTGGCACTCGGGGCAGTGCCCTCCTTGATGACCACACACAGCCCAGACTCAGGGGGACCAGGCTAGAGCTCTCTGTCCTAAACTTCCCCCTTTTACACAGGGCAAAGCTCTACCCTCCCAACCACCCAGGTGTGAGTCCTTGGAAGTTCCAGTGCTCCTCTGGTTGTCTCCAGCCAGCCCATCTCTGCACTCTTTGGTCTGGCCTGCACTATGACAGTGAGACTCCCACGAGGCCTCCCCTACCCACAGTGTGTTCATCAGCACGGTGTCTTCAGCAGCTGGCTCTGAACCAGACACTTTACTCTTGTGTGTCTAATCCTCTAACCACCTCGAAAAGCAGCTGTTCTTGCTTGCTGACAATTCTACACAACCACTGTTGAAGGGGGCACTGGCAATGTCTGCAGACTTTTTGGCTATCACAGTGTGGGAGGGGGTTGCTATTGGCATCCAAGGGACAGAGGATGGGGACGTTACTCAACACCCTACAACACACAGGACAAAGAAAGTCTCATCAATTCAAATGGTAACGGTGCGGTGCCTGGGAAACCCTGCTGCAAGGGAAGCTCTGTTCCACCTTTCACAACTGGGCAAAGTGAGGCTCTGCACAATTAAGTCGTTTATCCAAAGTCACCCAGCTACCAGTGGTGAGGCCTGAAATTCACAGTCATGTCTGTTTGGTGCCAGGAATCTGTGGATTTTTTCCAGCAGGCTCATCACCTTCCCCACATCCAAAGGAGCTCAGGCTCTTCTCACCCCCTAAAACTGTCCAATGCTCCACTGCATGCAACATGAAACAGTCTTGTCACTTGGGCATTCAAACCTCTGTGGCAGAGCCCAGATGGGTCTTGCAGCACTTCTGCCCACCATGCATACCTCTAACTCCTTCCCGTCAACTCCTTCTCATCGCAAACCAACTGGGGCTACCAGACCCTGCAGCAGGCGGGCTGCACACTTGCTCACTGCAGGGCCCTCTGTCTGGGAGGCCCTTCAGGGCCTGCTCAGAAAACACCCTCTGCTCCATGCGGACCTGTCAGATTCCCTGACTCACAATCAATCTCTCTGCCCTGTTCTTATAGGTCTCACTTGACCTCCACTGGGTGTTCAAAGCAGACTGCTTCCCAGACTCCCCAACAAGTCAGCAAAATGTCACTTCTTTGGGGCTCCAGCAAGCAACACTCAAGTCTTGCTGTCTGAGTTGAAGTTACTCACCCATCCTGTGGCACTTTAGATCCAGAGAGCCCACAGCTGACTGCAGGCCATGTCCCCCAGAACTCCCAATGACCAGCCCCTAGTCTGACAGTGTCTCTAAATGGTTCCCTTGATTTGATCTTTCTTGCCCACTTGGAGGTCACTGACAAAAGCAAACAGTGGCTATTAGTCCCTGTCTGTCCTGGATGGAGACCCTTCATGCTGGGCATCACTTGGAAATGGGTCCTTTGTTTCCAGGCAACAGCATGGGCAGGGAATTCCAGTTCTGCAGAAATGATGCTGAGACACAAGCGGCAACTGCCTCCCCTCATCTTCTGGTTCCCATCTCCTTGATCAGGGCAGGAAATGGAACAATCCTAGCAGATCACAGCCTTGCTCCTTTCCAGGCTGCTCAGAGCTCAAGATCTGGCTGGGACAGTGAGGCGGGTAGGAGGATGGGAGGGCAGCCCTGGCGCCCCAGGACAGTTCTGCCTCCTTCTAGTCCTCAGAGCCAGTCTCCTCAGGCGAAGCTGCATAACTAGTCCCGCTCTTTAAAGCTAATCTAGCCTGGTGTGCCCAGACATTGAAACCCATTGATTGGCAGCATTCCATTTCTAAAAGGAACTTCCAACTAGAATAGGATTGTGTAACTCTGGTTGGGTTACAAGTTGAGGTTTTAAAATTTTTAAGGCGTTGTGACTCTCTGGTGCCTTAAACCTTGTCAGTTGAGAGCTAGACAGAATATAAAGATCAAGATAGCTCCTCACTTTCATCTGACAGATGAAGACGCGGCCTGGTCAGTGCAATTTAGTGGTCAAGACTGAGCTATCCAGGCTTCCCTCCTCCCAGAGCCACACTCTCCCATCAGACCCTGCAACTTCTCCATCATGTTTGCTTGGCAGCCTCTTCTCTCTGCCTGAAATGCAGCTAACTATGTACAACTTTCTGCCCTTTGCATCTCTTCCAAGTTGTATCTCCATTTGACTTTGGCCTTCACTGACTTGGTTCTTCTAATTCAGCCTTACTCTGGGGTCTGAGGACAAGTCACAGGGGCATCTGGAAACCTTTCTTCAATTGTTTGTAAAAAGTTTGTAAGTACATCAGGTAAGAACTTCAGGTTCTCAAGGATATCAGGAATTTACTCCAGTGGGCTCTAGATCAGTGGTTCTCAAAATGGGTGCTCCAACTAGCAGCAGCAGCATCACCTGGGAACTTGGGGAGAGATGCGGAATCTCGGTCCCACCCCAGACTTGCTAAGTCAGAATCAGGTGAGGACCAGCCACCCGTGTGTTACTGAGACTGCTGGATGACTCCAGTGCATGCTAAGACTGAGAACTACTGCTCAAGAGGTGGCTATGGAGCAAATGCAACCTGGCACGGTCCCACATGCCACCTGGCACGGTCACACATGCCACCAGGTCGGCTGCAGACCCCTCCTCCTTTCTTGGGCACATCAGGCCACAGAGGAAGCCCAGAGAGGTTATCCCCCAGCCCAGCTAGATTTAACCAAGGGGGCTGTTTGTACCTCTGTCTGTAGGATTTTGCTCATGATCTACTCAGAGAAGATGCCAGCCTAGAGAAGAGAACCTCCAGGGCATGTGAACCATTAATCTTGAACTATGGAGAGGCTCAGGACCCAGCTGTCAGGATGCCAGGGGGATGACTGATCCACACTCTTCAGAGTCCTGAGGGCTAACTTGGGTAAACTGGTACCCAAGTTGGTCTCATTTTGAGTCAGACCCCAGCTATCTCCTTCAGTAGGAAGGCAGGGATCCTGGCCTCTCAGATCCATCTCCAGACCCCAGGTCTTGCGGGGACTGGGACATGGACTGGAAGTTCTCATAGATTCTGCAAACATCTCTCAAGGAATCATGGTAGCTGTCAGGGGTCATGTCCACTTTCCCCTCCATGCCCCAGAGCTTGTTCAGAGAGATGGCCAAGACTCTGAGTACGCTAAGAGCCAGCAAGAGAAACTTTCACAGGGCAAAGGGGAAGGAGATGAGAAAAGCAAAAGAAGGGAGAATAGAAGGGAGGAAAGAGGATTGGCTTCTATGTGGACAGTGAAAACGAGGAGGCCAATTATTCTGAATCAATAAATTAGCAGTTAGGAAAGGCTCACTCTGGGCAGAGTGCTCTGAGGCCCACCAACTGTCCCTGGGCTGCTGTGGTATGGCTTCCTGAACACCTTTTCCACTATGGTCCCCTGAATTCCTCCCCACCTGACCTCTCACAGCAGACTTTCAGGCTGCAGCAGCTGGCTGGAGAGGCGCCAGGCCTCCTCATAGTGCAACATGCCCTTCCCAGAGGTCCAGAGACCACTGTGTCCCAACTAAGAGTGGTCAAGGGCTGAATGAGGACTACTGTCCTACGGAAAAGTTACTTCTGGCCCCCACGGTCTGGGAGAATTCCATTGCTGAGCAGCTCTGAGTCTCTGCTGCCAGAGGAGGGCAGTGGGTACACAGTCCTAAGAGGCCCAGTCTCCTCCCAGACTGAGAAGCAGAATGGCTCACTCCAGAACCAAAGCAACCTGGGAGTCCTGCCAATAGGAGTCTCCATGACAGCTCCTGAGGAACAGGTCTTTCCTCTACCCAGGCATCACGAGGGGAGGATGATGCTCCTGAGGGCATATTGGAGTCTGGAGACATTCATGATCGTCACAACTGAGGCTGGGGAGGAGGTGCTGCTGGCATCCAGTGGGTGGAAGCCAGGGACACTGCTCAACACCCCACAGTGCACAGAATGACCCCACACAACAGAGAATGAACAGCCCAAACACCAATAGTGCCACCCAATTAAGGGTGGGAAACCTTGGTTTAGGACCTACCAAATCCTTGCATCCTTGAGGTTTTAATAGGGGATTAGGAGATTAGGGGCCGGTCCCAGTCAGACAAGGTCATAGGCTCACTCCTACTGGGGAACAGAGGCCTGGAGGAAGGCAAGGAATCCCAGCAAGGGGGGTCCAGTCACTGCCCCCACCTCTCTGGACAGTGACAAATAGGCTCCAGCATAACAGACCCCCACCCCCAGACCCCAAAGATGGAGGTATTCGGCACAACCAGCTCTCTGCTGCTCCAGCCCTAGTTAGGCTCCTGGCTCTCAGGCCCTCTCCCTGTGAGCTTCAGGACAGACAGACCAACACAGAGATGAGCTGTAGCAGGGCTTCTGGGCCCTCTGGACTCACCTGTCCAGTGGCCTGGCCCGAGCCATCGGAGCACACAAACTGCACGAATTCCTTAAGCGAGTCTTGCCCATGGTGGTGGTGGTAGCGGATGGTCGGGTGTGTGAAATACGGGCTCGACTGCTGGATGATGGACGTGGAGGGGAAGTGCAGTGCCGACGCTGTGGCCCGGGGACTCCCTACATACAAGGGGCAGAAAGGAGGGGCAGGTCAGGGCCTAAGAGGCAGCAAGCTTCTGGTCAAGGCACTGAGCATCCAAGGGTGAAGGGAGCAGGTGGTAGCAGGTGAGGCACCGGCCCCTGGTGTCACGACACTCAGTAATTAAGATAAATAATTTAATGCAATATTTAAAAAAAATTAAACTGGCCAACAAGGGCCCTCAGGCTAGTTACTTGTCCTTGTGAATAAAATCTGATTGGAACCAGCACTGAAATCAGGGTGAAGTGAGCAAGGCAAGGTCCTGTCTTTTGTTTAAAATATCATTTGCTCATATGTTTTGTCAAATAGTTTTGATTTTTTTAAAATATTGCATTGAAACATTATTTATCTGAATAACTGAGGTTTTTGCCACCCCCTGATACTTTGCACCTCAAGGCAAGTGCCTGGTTCACCCCCACCCTGTTACAGCTTGGATAGGAAGCACGACCTCCCAGGAGTCTGGAAGAGACCACCGCACCTGCGTAGGACACCCCAAAATGCACACATGACTCCTGCATGCAAGCCAGTATGCACTTGGACGTTGCTGCCAGGCGACATTCTTGTGTGCCCAGCCTCACTGCCTTTGCATACTTTCTTGCAGATGGAACTCCTACCTCGCACGGGCCCCAGCTCTTTCCCAGCCCAGTCTTCTCCCTCCCGTCTGTTTCCAATCAGCTCGCTCTTGCTCTCAGTTTCATTATGGGGCTGAGGAAACTTGGCTTCTCTCTGGAGTTCATAAAAGCGGAGTGGAACTGGGCCTGGGCTCCCCACCCCCACCTTGCGGCCACCACACCCTGCCCCAGTGCAGGCTGCTTCTGGGCTCCCAGCCAGGAGGCCCCGGGAGGAAGCTGGGAGGATAAACCTTGCTCTTCTCAGAGTCCCACAGAAGGACCCAGGAGATGGCAGGCTGGTGGATAAGGGCAGTATCAAAAAAGAGGCCAGGTTTCTCTCTGCCAGATGGGTGCTGAGAGGGGAAGAAGTGAGGGAGGGAGGGGAGCCTGAGGCCTCAGCTTCCTGAGTGATTCCATTTCCTCAGGAATGTCATGCCCCAAGCACCCTCCCCAAAAGAGAGCAGGACAGCATCCCTTAAGGCGGCAGGGTGGTCCTTTCCCTAGAGAGCCAGGAGACTGCTGTAGTCCTTCATGTCCAGAAGGGCCAGGCGGCCCAGAGGAGGGAGCCTGAGCACCTACGGGCACTCTCATCAGTCTGTGTTCCACACCAACATGGGTCCATGTCGGGGAAACCAGAACCCTAGGTTGGGCCCAGAGCTAGGAGAATAGCTTGGGGTGGGGGGAGCACTGGAGAGTACAGAGGAAGAAGTCTGTTTTTCCACCACTGCTGGAGGAGGAAGAACTGGGCAGGAGGGGGCCTTAAAGCTTCTACAGCCAGAGGACAAGTTGGAGGAGGCATCAGGCCAGGCCTGTGCCTCCCACACACATGCACACATAGCACACATGTGCACACACAAGCAAACACACACACACACGCACACATGGAATGAGAAGCAGTGGGGACGGTGCCAGGAGCAAGGCGAGGAGGTTGCTGTCGCAGAGAAAGGGCCCACTCCCACGCCCACCCTCTAATATGCCAATGCCCGGAGAGCTTGGCTGCCATCAGGGCGGGCCTGGCCCCATCACCTGCCAGCTGCCCTTTGGTGTTCTGCCACCTCCCCTCCCCACCAGACCCCTCATAGCTCACCTGGTCTGACTCCAGCAAGCACAGGCAGTGGGTGGTGAGTGAAAGCCATGCGCGGGGAGCTGCCCTGAGAGGAGAGGGCGCTGCAGAAGTCCAGCTTTCCTGACTTCTTTAGAGAAGCCGGGCCTGGGGGGAGGAATCAGCAACATAGGGCAGGTTTAGCCGGGCCAGGGAGGGGGTAGGGGAAGGCGGGAAGCCAGCAGCTCGCTCCTTCTCTCCTCAGCCCCTCCAGGTGCCCCTCAGCCCCCCTGGCCCCATTCCAGCTCTGTTTTCAGGCTGGGAGAGGAAACAGGGTGGTGTGCAGCGGGCAGGCAGTGAGCAGGGAGAGCATTTGGCTCCTGACAAGCAGATAATGAGGGTGGGATGTGGTGGGATGGGGGTGGGAGCAGGGGTGAGGAAGGTATATAGGAGTCATCCCAGGAGCCAGCTTCAGAGCAATAGGAGCCAGGAGGGACTGGCTGAGACATTTGCTTCGGCATGGTGCTCAGTCCGGACGGCAGGGGAGATGCAACCTGACAAGACAGTGGAAGGGTCCACCCAAAGGCCTGGGTGGACAGAGAGGCTAGGACTCCGTCGCTGCAACAGGATGGGTGGATTTAGGGCTTTCCTCTGCTCCTGGGGTCAGAGACAGAGTGGCACTCTACAGGAGACAGGGGTACAGAGGTCACCCAGTGTGTGCTCTGTGTTAGCAGCATTATGTTACTAGTCACGGGCATCTCTGTGCCCGGTGGGCAAGATGTTGACATGATGTTATGGCAAAGCAGAGTCCCTGGCTCTCCTGTCCTGGGCTGACCTGCAAGGCTGTGCCAGGCTGGGAGGGGTACGGTGGAGTGAGGGGATCTCGAAGGGACGAATTGAGTCCACTTGGGTGTGGGGAGGGGGGCTACAGAACAGAGAAATAAAAGCCCTCTTAACCACAAAGAGAAGAGCGGGGGAAGGGCGAGCTCCCAGCCGCCAATGGAGGTGTTATCTGGCAGCAGCTGTGTGCCACCTGATAGCTGGCACAGTGAGGGGGGGTAGTGCTCTCACCAGCTGTGCACAGCTGTCCCGTAGCCGCACAGCGCCTCCCCAGCTGTTCCCCATCCTGCAGCTGGGCTGCTTAATTGGTGATTTGTCTCAGCACAGGGAAACAACACAGGGGTGGGGTAGAGAGAAAAAGAAGGGAAAGCAGAGGATCTGGGGGTGCTGCAGGAGGATGGGGACCATGCATGGCATCAGAAATGGTGGATTCAAGAGCACACATGGTAGAGAGGAGAGTGGAAGCCAGGGAGAGGAGGGCGTCAGGCCTGGGCAGGGGGCCTGAGAGTCCACACCCCAGAAGCCAGTTGCAGAGGCTGCTCCCAAGGCCTGGGAGGTTTTGGAAATAGTCACGAATGAAGGTGCTGGCTGGGGAGTCTTTAGGGCCTTTTCAACCCCTCCCTTCTCTGCCTCTCAGGGTTTCCTTATCCCTGCCCTCATGAGAGCTTGTGAGGGGCATCCAAAGTCATACTGAGTGCTCCCCCACGGAGGTAAGCCTTACTGACAGTCCCTCTCCTCCTCCCAGGGAGCCTGCATCAGGGGCAGCAGGAAAGCAGAACCACCCCCTCCTTCTGCTTCTCCCCCAGCCCCAGCCTCTGCCCATCCACTTGGCCCTTCCAGTAGGAGCACATCTGAAAAACACCAGGCAAAGCCCCATTAGGTCAGACCCTCACTTTCCTGCCCTAACCAGAGCAACCTCACTTGTGCACACCCCACATGTGAGGGTCTCCACTTCCTAGTCTCACACCTCAAGGACACACACAGGCTGCACCACCAGAGTGTCAGACAGAAGTTTCCTCAGCCAGCCTCCTCATATACATGTGCAAGCATACACACCGGCATGCACACACATGTGCACACACAGGCATGCACACATGTATGCATGTGCATGCACAGGCTCCTGCTCTACTCTGTATGGACTCCCCAGACTTGCTTATGATGCCTGTCAAGGCATAGGAGGTGAAGGTGGGTGGGTTGACCAGGAAGGGGATGGCCAGAGGAGATGAGAACCGAGCAGCTGCCTAGAGCCTAGACCTGTGCACTGCCTGGCCCCAGAGCAACTGTTGATCTTCCTTAGGCTCTGCTCCTCTCGGTGAGGCTGGGCCCTTCAGACTATACATTCTCAAGCTGGGAAAAGTCTGTCCCTCAGGGAAATGTCCAACAATATCTGGAGACATTTTTGGTCGTCATACCAGATGTAGTGGGTTTGCTATTGATATCTGATAAGTGGAGGTCAGGGATATTGTGCCACACCCACAGTGAGCAGGCGGGCCCCACCACAGGTAATGATGCTAACAGTGCCCAGACTGAGAAATTGCTTCAAACCATGAAGACCGCAAGGTTGGCACAACCTCTCTAGAGAAATACGAAGAGAAGGAGGCTCTGGAGTGGAGGCCCTGGTCCCACTGGAGGACAGTAGAGGCTCAGTGCAGGACCTGTACTTCCCTGCTGCCCTATTTGAAGTCTCGGAGGCCCACTCAGTGACAACCCATCCTTGCCTCCACCCCTACTTTGGCCAGCTCTGCCCACCTTTGGAAGGTCAGGGGGCCAGGATAGTGCACAGGTAAATAGCAGGGGGACAGTGGGACTTTGCCAGGTAAACTGGGGAAGGAAGAGTCTCTACGATGTCCTTGCTCTGGTCGGCCCACTGCCCATACCTGCATCCACATCATTGGGCCATCCACTGGACTGGCTGCTGCCAGCTGCTGGAGAGCGGCCTGTCCCAGGATAGAAGACGTCGTCAACAGGGCTCTCCATCTCGCTGTCATCGATGGACTTGGGGCGCTTGGTGGTGCTGGGAAAGGAGGATCCAGATCAGGGGGGGGCCAAGAATGGGCCGAAGTAATGATACTTGCTGCACCAGGAACTGCAGTAAGTAACCACAAGGAACTGCACCAGGGCCCTCCATGTGGAGAGCAGGCATACTGACAGCAGGACTTCTGAGACACCCTGAACCAGCTCTAGAGTCTCTTGGGCCCAGAGTGCCCATACCCCCTCCTCAGGCCCCAGTGTGGGGGTGATAAGTTCCACCACACTGCCCAAGTCAAATAAGTGGGCAAAGCCCTCAACTGCTTCTCCTACTCAACCTTCTGCTATCCATTAGCCCCCAGGGCAGGACAAGTAAAACACTCACCAGAGACAAAAATGCTAGGGGGTTCCTAAAAACACAGCCATCAAGATAGTGTTATTTTATATTAAAATATTACATGTTAACGCGATACTTTAACAAGTCAAAATGAAAGGCAAAAACCTCACAATGAAACAACATGCCCACTTTAAAAAAAAAAAAAAAGGCAGGTTTCCATCCTCCCCTGCACGACTGGCCCAGAACAGGGCCTGCTCTGTCTACCTCCCCAACATCTCTCAGCTTCCTCATCTCTTTGCCACTCCCCCTTCCCACTCAGGTCTCCTTCAACCCAATCCACTGTCCAATCAGTCCTCTCAATGCTGTCATTGAGAGAGCTTTCTGGAACATACCTCCCCAGCATTTCCTGCTTAAACTCCCCCAGTGCTTAAACTGGGGGAGTTTAAACTGCTTAAACTGCTCCAGAATGCAATCCAAATGCCTTACTCTGGCTTCTGCAGTCCTCTGGGTGTGATCCTGCCAGTCCAGCCTCAGCTGGGATACAGGCTGCTCTCATTCCATGGAGAGTCCACCCTATGACCACACCCCCTATACGTCTGGGCTCAAATGTCATATCCCCGAGAACAGGCCTTCTTGGAGCTCCAGTGCTAGCACCTTCCAGGCAGAGCCATGCCTTGCTGGGATTTGTGTCCTGGGTTTTGTGCCCTTTACAGCACAAAGCAGGAAGCTTGGGGGGCAGGGGGCAAGGAGATGAGAGGGGTCAGATGGCTTTGGAGTGAGTGCCCTCAATAAGGGGTAACTTTCTGAAGCACCTAGGCAGTGGTAGAGCAGCTTCCAGCAGTCACCTGAGATAGCCTGGGTGGCAAGGGGAGGCAGGGTGTTGGGCTTACCTGGTGGAAGGAGGGGAGGTGATGGACCGCCGCCCCAAGGTCACCTGGTTTATGTTGTAGTAGCTGGGACTCTCCAGGTCTGCCAGTGAGAAGTTAGGCCCTGATGCTGTTGCAACAGGTGCTAGGAAGAAACAAGAGGGTGATGAGGTGTGGAAGGTGCCAGGGGCCTACTGGAGCCTGTTTTGTTGCCATGAGCAGCTCCTCCAAGCCCCAGGGTGAGTTCACTGTGAGACTGCTGAGGAAACCTCTGGCTGGGTTCATCAGGGAAGAGCACTTGGTTGCAACTTAGTCTCTCCAGAACAGTAGAGAATGAAGGTGGGGCTCTCTGGAAGTCTCCACTCTACCTAGCCCAGTGCCAATGGGGCAGAGGGTATCCCAGGAAACCCTGCTTGCCCCTTCCCCACCAAGACCCCATCAGCAGTGGGTCCCAGTCCACCTTCCCACACCCCTCCCTGCTGGCTCAGCCCTGGCCCCAAGGGAAGACTCACTTACTCTGTGATACTCTCACCAGCTCCGTCACATTCCAGACTCCGGAAGTCACAAAACAGTCCTGGAAACTTAAGTGCCCTGAGGAGGGAAAAGATCAAGAGTGGAGGCATGGCCAGGTGGGGCTGCCTACTGTGTCCCCACAGAGATCTCCCCTTTCTGACTCATTTCCTCCCAAGCCCCCTGTCTCAGCTCTCAAGTCTATATGGAAGGGGATGGTATGCTCCAGGTGAGCTCCTCCTCTTGGGACTGAAACCCAAGTTCAGTGTAGGGCCAGCTGCATGAACAGGAAGAACTAGGGGTTGGGGGTAGGTCAGTGAGGCGCAGGAGGACAGAGGAGGATGCAGGGGGCAGGGAAGACCAGGAAGGACCATGCTGACATGGGAGGACTTGCAGGCTGGAGGAGGCACTGACCGTTGGGCAGTGGTTTGATGTCCGCATCTCCTTGCTGGTTTGAACTATCTGATTGTCCGGATTCTGCAGGAGACATAAAGGAGGTAATGGGTCAAGACCAAAGTGTCCTACAAACACCAGTCAAACAGTTGCCTGTCCAGCCATACAAATATCTTCAGCATCCCCTTCTCTCAGGAAGCAACCAGGAGGTCCCCTCCAAAAGATCAGCAGTGAGGGAGAAACCCCTACTGACATCAGCAGGAGTGTTCTCTATGCGTGTGTGGTGAGGGGTGGGAAAGGGGCAGTGTGGTGTGTCTGTCCTGGCCACTGTAGGGTGTGTGGCAACATTTCTAGCCTCCACCCACTAGATGCAAGGAATACCTCAGTTGTGACAACCAAAATTGTTTCCAAACACCACCAATGCGTCCTGGGGGCAAAGTCACCCACAGGTGAGCAGCACTGGCTGAGTGCAAGGGCAAAGAGGGTACCCAGGAGAGAAGCCAATGGTCTGCTCTGTGCACAGCTGGGATAGACTCAGGGGTCCCCATCTTTCATCAGTTCAAGCTCCCAGAGGAGCAGCCCCTGCCTTCCCACACTTTGTTAATTAGAGCCACTCCTGTCTGCACACTACCCCCATCTCACCTTTATGCTTGCAGGGAGTGCCTGGCAACATGAAGCAGGGGCGGGGAGGGGGGATTTGTCCTGACGCTGTCGCCCGCTCTGTGCCAGCCTGTCTGGGCTGTCTCAGGCCCCAGTGCCACAGCTGCTCAGAGGGAGCCCCGAGACAAGGGCCCATTGTGCGATGGGAGCTCACAGAGGGCTGGGGGCAGGGTGGAGTGTGTGTGTGAATATTTTGCTGAGCTTGGGAAAGCCCCCTGCCCCCACCCCCCAGGTCCTCAAAGCTTTGTGTGCCAGGGGCACCACGGGGACCGCCAGAATGCCTGCCTGGGCATGACAGCTGGCAAGAGGGCGGCGGAGGGGGGCCAGGGCAGCTTTTTTGGTAAAGAATCAGCTGCTCACAGGAGGACAACATGAGGGTAGCATTGGAAAACTGTGCCCTAGTACTGGCCAGGGTTTTGCCTGACTCTTCGAAGTAAGCCTGCCTCCTGGGTCTCACCCACCATCCCAAGGTCAGCCTGCTGGCCAGCGAGTCTGCCCCACTGACCTCACAAACCAGCTACTCACATGGGGAATGACCAGCAAGGAGGTTCCTAAAGGGCAACAGAGGCCTGAGAGATTGGGAAGGGGAACCTGTGGTCTTTGGGAAGGACAGAAGCAGGCCAGGCACTGGGGCGGGCACGTCGAACAGCCCGTGGGAGCAGTCTCTGCCAAGTCTCAGGAGCATGGCCAAGTTCCTGGTTGCCTGCCTCCCTGTGGCTGGTGGGAAAGGACAGGGTGCCCCAGGACAGCAGACGGCCCCGTTTCCCCCATCTTACACCATGCTCAATTTTTTTTAATTCCAAAAAATAATAATCAATCTTGTCACCAATCAAGAAAATGGAAGTTTGTAAGGAAAGTGTTAATGGGGCCCCTCAACCCTCCAGTTAGCAGTGTGCCCTTCCACACCTCCCTCTGTGCTCACTCCCATGGTGGAACTATTGACTCCGGAGACAGTCCCCAGGTCGGCCTCCCGCATTCCTGGGGGAGCAGCCCTCTGTGCCTCAGCAACGTATGGGTATGGGTTTCCTTGCTGCTCCCTCACCTCTGCCCAGCCCTGGCCCTGTGAGTCTGGTTCAACCCCCACCTGGTCCAGGAGGGAACAGACAAGGGCAGTGGCAGAGGCAGTGGCAGCCCACCCCAGGGCCTACTTGGTCCCAGGCCCTGAGCCTGCTGTCTCTCAGGATTGCCCTCTCCCCCGGATTTGTCACTCAGGAGGGGCACAGCAGCAGGACCAAGCTCTGCCGCCAGGAATTCCCTCCTACTGATCCCACTCAACCAGGACCAACTCAATCCCACCGGCCCTTCAGGACTGGGTTACTGGAGTGGGGGACACTGAGGAGGCCCTGGACTCCATCCATGGGAGTGGCCCCAGACACTGCAAATGGCCAGGTGGAAAGAGAAAGTCGCGCACATGCGCACATCAAGTGCAGGGAGAGAAAGGAGAGAAAGAACCCGACAAAGAGATGGAGATGGGCCAGCGACTGAGGCAGAGACAAATGGGGCTCCAGGAGAGCTCAACAGGAAATCCTTCCAGACCAGGACACTGCCCCGAAACGTTATTGCTGTTTTTACTATTAGCTCAATGTAAAGGAGCAAGGGGGAACAAGGATCGGAGAGGGCGAGGTCTGCTGCCACGCGCCTTCAGTGGCTGCTCCGGGTGCTGCTGGCAGCCATTTTAGCCCTTGGCAGCCATCTTATGGCTGGCGGTCCCGGCCGGCTTCCCCACAATGCCACCACTACTAGCCCCCAGCATGCTCAGCTCAGCTCCAGGACAAAAGGCAGAGACTCTGGAGATCTGAACCCAGAGGCAGCTGCTGCCCAAAATTCTGAGCTCTGCCCATGGGCTGTCCCAGGGCACCGTCCCAGGGCCCAGGACCTCAGCTAGTTCACCTAAGTAGACTCATGCCCCAATGAGGTAATAAGGTCCTCAGGACAATAAGGGACATGATGGGGGCAGACACTTGCCCACCCAGTTAGCTGGGGGCACACATTGGACAGAGGGGGAAGGGGTCTGGAAAGATCCCAGTGGGCACCTTCAGGGTTCAGACAGGCTGCTTAGCTCCGGTGGACGGGCTCCCAAGAGGGGCTAGGAGACAGAAGCAGGAGCCAGCTGGATGGGCTCTTTGAGAAACAGTGCCCTGAGGTCAGAGCCTGCTCTGGACAGCCCCACAGGGATCAGGAGCTGACACCTCAGTGACTTGGGGCTCCCTGGGGGGAGAGGATAGGCCCCCCCCCCCAACTGGCTTCGGGACAGATAGGAGGAAAGCCCCTTCTGAGGCCCCGCCTCATGGCTTTCTCGGCTTTTATCTGGTAGAATGGGGCTTATCAGAGCCACCAGCTGAACAAACACACAAATCCACAGTTAGTGAGAGAAAACCCTCTGCCTGAACTCTTTATCTCCTGTTTGCAGGCCCCACACACTGCCCCCTGCCAACAGCACAGGAGGAGACCTGAGGGCTCCTCTCTCAGCCACCCCCTCTTCTCCTTGCCCTGACCCAGCGCAGGGTAGCTCTCTCTTGGCAGTCCTGTGGGGTGGGTGTGCATGAGTGAGCTCCTGCCACATGGGACCCCCTCCAGTGTCTGCTTTCTCACAGGGGACAATGGGCCAGCTGGTGAACTGTGGGCCAGTGGAGGGGCAGGGATGGTTGATGTTGCCTGGCACAAGGGCAAGTGCCCGGGTCCGTCTTTATCCTCTCCTGTCCGGCCCATGTCCACAGTTGCTCTGACTCCCCAGCCTTCAACGGCCATGGCCCCTGACAGCCTTGCTGGCCTAAACCCAAGAACAGTGGGAACCCTATATGTTCGACCCTATTTCAGGGTCACCCCTGCCTGCACCTCTTTTCCAAGACTGTAGCTGCCATCACTGCCTGGAGGAATAGGGGTGTGGACCAGGGGGTCAGGGACAGAGCTTCCTCTCCTCATAGACAACTCAAAGTTTTCCTCCATCCTGGTGCTAAGGAGCAGACAGCACCTTCCCTGCTCTAAGCCCCCTACCACACAGCCCCAGGGGATGCCCAGGGCCAGATTTTTGGGAAATAAAGAGAATTTTGGAGCCCATGGTGCACAGCTTGTTCTCAGCTGGGGCTGGGGGTTGGGAGGGGGGAGCATTTACACTGGCTCTTGTCACACACGCACACACTCTGATGACCAGCCTTCTCTCAGGACTCAGGCTACTCATGTGCACACCACTGAGGCAAGACCTTTGCCTGCCAGTGGGGCCAAGGGTCCCCACCACTGTGGAGGCTTCTGGAAGGAAGGACTATGCAGGGGCAGGTGATAAATCCGAATTTGGTCTAGGGGACATTTGCTCAGGAGCAAATGATAAGTGGGGCTGCTCCCCACTCATCAGCAAACATGTCATCCATCAATGGCTTGTGGACTGAAGGCCTCATTCAGCACCCACACTTGAGCCAGGTCAGCCAAGTCCCTCCATATTCCCTGGAACAGCCACAAAGACACCCCGCCCTAGACTGGCCATTCAGCTCCACCTTAGCCCTTGAAGCTTCTCACCTCCTCTATTCAGCTCTTTGCCTTTCCCTCCGGAAACCATTTCTGGTCTTATTTTGCTGTCTTGGCTCTGAGCCCCTGTCCTTCCTCTTCCTTCACCCTCCCTCTCTCAGGCCCCCTTTCCTCTCCAGATTCCGCCTGTTTGCACGCGTGTGTGCATGTGCACATTTCCAGAGGGTTTTGCCCTTCCCTGGAGCTCTGGTGGGGGAGCCGCAGTAGCAGGAGGAGCCCACGTTGCACACAGACCCTGATCGACGGTGAGTTTTTAATATATATATTTCCAGCTCCAGACTCAGAGATATTTATGGCTCCCACCAGGTGAGGGAAGAATTCCTGCTCTCTGCAAGGAAGGTTCTGCCTTGGCTCCCAGCCGAAGCAAACTTTCTCTCTGAAAGGAGCTAAGTGTTAACTTCTGTCCAGTTGCCCCCACCCCGCCAAGCACATCACATATTGAGTGAGTTCCTCCAGGGCTGAGGGGGCTTGCAGACCTGGGCCCACTATATCACACCCCACATGCATACACTGGGGGTGGGGGGTGATAGAGTCGTGCACACACTTAGAGATGTCTCACAGGTGTGGTGTAAGACGAGACGTACAGAGCTGTGATCCTACCGTGTGAAGCAGGTTCAAAGATAAGCACCAGGCCAGAGAGAGGCCCCCTCAACTCTGCCCAGGCCATTGGCCTTTGGAGGCTGGGGGAGACAGCCTTGAGGCATACCTGCCCTTCTTCTGACCCTCCCCAGACCTGCCTGAGGTTTCAAGAAGCAGCTTGGGTTGTGCTGTACTCTGGGGGTGCAGTCCTCTGAAGGCACCTGAATGAACTCAGGAGCTGATCCCCAGGGCAGCACTCCTCCCCCCTCTCCTCCACCCCCTCTGTGATTCCAGAGTGTCCAGGGCACGGGAAACTCAATCTCAAG